CCGTTCTTTTATGTAGGTACTGCTGTGGCAGCATTCAGAATGTAGGTACCTATATCTGACGCTAGCGAAGTACTTCAAATTTTTTTTACAGAGTCTAAACATACACTTTAGGGCTGAGATCCCTGTACCAGTAGGAAAAAGAGCTGATGATCTTTGAACAGCTGCACAGATGTTCATCAAATATCTCGATTAAAATAACCTTCAAACAGCTTTGAGAACAGCCCATTCGTTTGGGAGCCTACGACGCCACAAACTGACATACAGATGCCCAGTAAAAAGACTTGCAAACTTATATCTCTCATCTTTTTGCGTCGCGGTTTATAAATATTGGTGCACGCCCACGGCTGAGAATAGAACTCATTGCAGGCTAGATTTCTTCCAAATTAAGAATCTATTTATAATTTTTGTACGTATCGACTGGACTATTTCTAGATGATTCTAGGCTTATTAGATGAAGAAAAGAATTGTTTGCGTCATTTATATAGCATCTGGTTAGAAGTTGTACAAATTGGATGACGTCGATTCTGGCACCAAAATTAAATGTATCTGAGATGGAATTTCTTGCAACGTTGCGGAGTGTGAAATATTATAAAATTGTATTAAAAAATGCAATCTTTATAAAATTGAGATACCGGTTGCCAGTTCACAGTCGATATACAACATAGCGACACATCCGAAGAACAGTGTCCATTGTAGATTTTATGTACGAGAATAATTTCGTCATTCAAACTAAGGCCTATGTAAAGGTGTTTTGACAATTTACATATCTTATTTGTTTTCGATAATCTCAGTACAGAGTACTAAAAAACCGACCTCAAAAGTACGTGGAATTACGTCTATATGCTAAGTTTCATTGAACTGTATAGGACTTGATACTGGAGATAATAAAAATAGGTTCTCACTACGGCACTACCCAAAGTATATCGAGAGAAAAACGCCTTGAATTGGAGAAATAGCAAAATCAACTAAATGATTGCTAAAAGTAATTGCTCCTAAATTTAAGTTAGGCGCTATTTATAAAAATTAATCTTCATGCGTGAACAGCCACCCTTTGAGGTGGATGATTTTCTTCAAAATGAAATGGGACCACTATGGAAGTACCCCCTTTCCAACAAAAAAAGAATCATGAAAATCGGTTCACAAATACCGGAGTTATCTCGTAACATACATACAAAAAAAAAATAAAAAAAAAGAACATACAGTCGAATTGAGAACCTCCTCCTTTTTTGAAGTCGGTTAAAAATATAAAAACGAACAACAGTCGATCTGACATTCACAGCGATTTAAAACGAACGAAATGTATGTCCTGAGAACAAGTAGTCTTGCACATAGATCTTTGTTCTACATTCTTACACCAGCCTCGCAGTACATTTATGAATATGTAATTTATGTTAAGAGGAATAGTAATTTGTTTATGAAAAATTCTGTCAGACATAACATTAATACGAGGAATAAAAATAAACTAGCTGTTCTTGATAGTCGTCTTCACAAAGTCAAAAAATCATTCAAGGGGCAATGTATACGCTTCTACAACAAGATTCCGGTTGATATACAAAATTTGCCTTTCACGAGGTTTAAAACTATAGTGAAACAAAAACTTTACAATTACTGCGTATTTAGATGACAAAATCCGTGGTAGTAACCCGTTTAGCTCATGGAGGTAGTCTCGACCTCTGATGTTTGAAAGCAAAAAAATATTGTAAATGTTGAATGAGTACAAATGTTATTTACAAAGAGCAACCCCTAGAGTTTCTTGCGCATTATTCTCATGGGAATCTGTCTTACGAATGAGCAGTAGAGTTTAACCATTGTGACGGTTTCAAGTGTAATAATGCTTACCTATGAAATAAAGATTATTTTGAATTTGAATTAGATACAAGCCAAAATCTTCCGCGGAATTCTCACGCGTACATGCGCAAATTATACAAAAAGAAATTGTAAATGATTTTTAACCTTTCTACCATTTAGTCGCAAGCATTTTTATGACTAAAAGTAAAAGGTAATTTTTCAGGACAATGAAACTTTATTAGCGTTTTTCTGTGTTAGGCAAATTACCAGCGTTTACCGAATTAGACTAACTTAAAGCTAAATCAAAATCAAGACCGTACTAACTTATAATCTCAGTATTGAGTACTAAAAAAACCGACCTCAAAAGTACGTGGAATTACGTCTATTTGCTAAGTTTTATTGAAATATCCCCTAGTTCGCCACTATACAGGACTTGACACTGGAGATAATAAAAATCGGTTCTCACTACTCAAAGTATATTGAGAGAAAAACGCCTTGAATTGGAGAAATAGCAAATCAATCATTAAAATAATTGCTCCTAAATTAAAGTTAGGCTCTATTTATAAAAAAACATCTTCATGCGTGAACAGCCACCCTTAAAGATGGAAGTACCCCCTTTCCAACAAAAAAAGAATAATGAAAATCGGTTCACAAATACCGGAGTTATCGCGTAACATACTTACAAAAAAATAGGAACGAGGTTCTCTCCTTTTTCGAAGTCGGTTAAAAATGTGTCATAAGTGACTTTGATCATCCTTTCCCTGGTCTCTTCAAGCTCGGGAATCGAACCCGGGACCTCTGCGTGGCAGTCCAGCATGGTAACTAGAGGTGGGTGATAAATAAAGTCACGATGAAAAAATCACGATGATCCGCCCCCAAACAATATCACCGTGACCCGTTACGAAGGAACGACGTTCCAAAATCACATAGGTGTTCCTCCGTTCCAATAGCTATCCCCGTCACTCACATCACGACATACGTATTTGATACAATGCGCGATCTCCGTTCCGTGGTGACTGAGCGCGCCACCTCGTTGTAGTTCTCTTCAAATCGGGCCATTTCGGCGATGGGAGTGAATGAAATAGGATGACTTTCTTTGCTCACTCACAAGGGTCGTAGGTGCTTGTTACTACTAGAAAGGGCGGATGAAAAAAATCTGCAGCAGTTATTATAAACCTGTTTATGAACAAAGTAAAATATTTTTGTATATTTGTTTTATTATAGGAAGAGTTGGTATTTTATATTTATGTATAATCTACTTTGTGTATTCTACTAGAAATATAATTACATTACACTTTATTGCTATTTTTAACAATCTTTGGATTGTTACTTATATTGTAACAATCCAAAGATGATTGTTACTTATTTAATGCGAATCTTTGGATTCGCATTAAATAAGTAACAAACAAAATTACATTAAATACAAAATCAACTTTTTGAATGGAATTAAAACTTATTACAAAGGGAGTAAAAACTTAAATCATTATATAGAAAACGGCTATAAGTATTAGAAAGAAGCCGCTGGCTAAAACCATATATCGTGATGTAAGTTATAGGCATGACAAGGTCACGGAAGTAACAGTCGTGACAAAATCACGATGATTTATCACTGTGATTTTTTTTGGAACCGGAACGACAGTCACGGCGATAGAAATGTAACGCTATTCCCCATGTCTAATGGTAACCGTTCAGCATTATAACTAACATTATAAAATAAAACCACGAAAACGTTATAAAAAATATATTTATTAATGTATTTTGTAACCATTTTTTGTATATACAATATTGTGAAATTAATTTAATTTTTCCGGATTTAAATCGCGCGTATTTCTTTTTTCAAACAAACCAACGTTTTGGGCTTTTTACAGTTTTAATAATCGCGGCTGTTGCGAACCGGTCCTATACGCGCTCGAACCGAGACGTGCGGGCAACACGGCCTAGCATGACGTCACAGAGCGGCACTCACCTTATCGACAGCCACAGGCGACGGTCGACCTTACTATCATTTTGTGTTGCTTGCAATCTGTATGATTGAGACGGCGAATTTACCAGTTCTATTGTTAATACAGTCCACTTTTATTTCACGTCTCTTAGGACCTAACATTGGTCCTTCGAGCCGGATGAGATGGTATTAGTTATCAACATTGACTTACAAATAAATGGGCGACGGGTCTAATACAAAAACCACGAAAAAAATGTCCCAAGTCAAACTATTTAAACGTAGTGACATGTAAAGGAATATGAAAAAGCTAAAACGTTGAATTTAAATTGTAATGTCATTGCAGTACAGTCTAATTTTGCTTGCTTCGCTGTCAGTCGAACAAACGAAGACTAAAGCGTGAATGACGCTCTGTATACGATTTTAACGCCCTATAAGTTCGGACACTTTTTAGCGCGGACCCGAAGTCCATATAATTGTAAGTCAATGGTTATCAACCAGTTATGTCAAATATTAATGCAATCTATTTATTATTTTTTAAACGACTTTAAAAAGGAGGAGGTAAATAATTCCATTTCTTTTGTATGTATTTATGCAATTACTCTGGCAGTGGCGAACGATTTTGATTATTCTCTTTTTGTTGGAAAGAGGATATCTCAGTATTGGATCCATTTAAATTTGATGAAAATATTACATCTCTAAGGGTAGCAAACTAGGGGATGAATCCGGTTTCACGCAAATAAATGTAATTCCACGAAATTTAGTGACCGGTTGTTTTTTATAAAAAAAATGTTATTATTAATTATTTCCATTGATGAATAATTCTTAGCAGAAATAGGACTGCAGTACTGCTGGATAACATTAATGAATAATTATTTTTTTAAATTTCCATTTAATTCATTTTTATTGCATACTAGCTGCTGCCCGCGACCTCGTCTGCGTAGAATTAAAAACAGTACTTCGAGTAGGCTACTGTACAAATTTTCATAGTTTTATTGGTTCTTCATACAAACTTTCAACCTCTATTTCATCCTCGTTAAGATTTATTCACTTCACTTTTTATTTTTATGGCTCCATCAATATGAGAACTGATGATTTTGCCAATGTCACAGTTGAAAGAAAAAAAACGAAACAAAAAAAAAATTTTCGCTAAGCTCTAATAGGACATTAACCGGTGTTGGTAAGTTGGACTACGGGAGTACTCAGTTGAGAATGTAAAACAAAACAGCAAAGCAATATTTATAAATATATGTTATATTATGACAAAAAATATCCTATACATATCTTTCTAGATCTCATCTAAATTCATGAAAATTGGTTCAATGGTTTAGGCGTCAAAACCTGATAGAGTTACTTTCGTATTTTTAATTATTAGTTTGGATTATTGCAAACATCTATCTATTATTTCCTATGATTAAAAATCATAAATGCATTACTACTTGTTAATATGTTTTATTTAATTTCTCTAATTTGCTTTTAATTCATAAATACTACAAAAGAAAATTGGAATATGTTCATACGAAATTTTTTAAAAAGCCGTAACGCCAATAATCATTTTTGTGAACTGTAGTACAGAATAGGGTGGTTTGTGTGAGTATTAGATTTTGCTTGTTGATGACTAATACCATTAAATTGTGGAGTTCCTTATGGAGGAACTCGTCCAGGGTAGTATTGCCACATTACCTATTTCTGCCCCCAACCAGTAATGTGACCATGACTGCATTTCCGTTTTGAAGTATAAGGGTGCTGGTGAAATTACAGGCATATACGACTTGTTGTGAACAGTTGTTCGCGTCCCTCGGTATCATAAAAAAGGGCCCGAAACATTGGTTTGTTTGAAAAAACGTTTTGAGATATAGATCCGAAAGAAATAGTTTCATTTCCTATGTGTAACAATTGCGTAAACTTAAAAATTCAATACATCCTTTTAATATCATTTCGGTTCATCGTTTTTTTCCTGATAAGTGATTGCTCCTTTTTCTATTAAGTCGGGTATTTCTACTGCCAGCCACGGTCCTAACTGTAAAAAAAAATATTTAAATATGGTACCGTAATTGGGCGTGATTGTAAAGTCTGTCTTTTTTGAAGACGGAATAAAATGACAGTACCTACATCGCGCTAAAGTGTTAAGCTAGTGATTGCAGTCGATAAATATTATATCGACTATGGACTAAATATTGACCACGCTTATGAAATAAATAGCCCAACTTGTTTCATTTGAATCATCCTCGACCCATTATTCATCCAATTACTGAGCACAAGTCCATTTGAATTGTCAATTTTTGTAAGTTCATACACTGTATTTAGAACTAAATAGAAAGAAGAGGCATATTTTTAAGTTTGTCGTATTAATTCAATATAGATAATCAAATCCGGTTATTCTTGTAAAAATGTATATGAATGAAAATTGATCTCGATACTAATAATAACGCTCACAATAATAACGCTCACAATCAACATAGCCCCGCACTAGGGAAACCCTGTGTCGCGGGTGCCATGGACACACACATAAACAACCACAAATTACACCCAAACTCACGAGAGAAATAAATGTAGGCTATACAAATATTTCTCTCGGCCCGGGAATCGAACCTGGGACCTCTGCGTGGCAGTCCGGCATGGTGACCGTTCGGCCACGGAGGCAGTTAAATACTAGTAGGCCAATTGTCAAAATAGGAATAAAGAAGGCAATAACGCAATTAGTAATTATTAGAACGTAATAACAGACACAATTCAGTCATTTTTGGCAAAATTTTATTTCTTTCACAATCTATCGATAAAACTATCGACAACTACTACGCAACTATTTAAAATTTTATGAAAACTGGCAACCCTACAAATGTCGTTTTACTCCGTCTTCAAAAAGGGCAGACTATAAATTATTTGACTACTTCACGTTTTGTATTATAAACCCATATAAACCTAAGAAAAAGGATAAACGCCTTACCATTTTAAAGAGCAAGTTTTCTGTTTGGTGAATTGCTCAAATTATTTATCTAGGCGTTTGCGTATTCTTCGTTTAACTTACAGTGCATAATAAAACATACATATTTTGTTGAAATAAAGATGATGTGAACGACATACTAGGCAACAAAACTATAACATATGGCGCCTAGTTCGAGAGGTTAGTTAAATACAAACTTCTATTGGTCAAAAATTATGGTTCACCAATCTTCACCTGGCTTGTCTATTCCACGGCGTTACAACGGTAGATTTAGTATAAAAAAATTGCTAAAATTTTTAGAAGATTTACTGGTAAGTACATTTGCCTGTAAATGTGTAGAAATGAATGGACATGCAGATATCCTAAATACGTACCCCAAGGGCCATTGCATGTGCAATGCCGAATCTCGGAACATTCCTTGCCCATAGTGGCTTAAAATGATCTGTCAGGCAAATCTTGCCGCCTCTGTACATTTTCGCTGTCTTGCCATCAAGGCCGGGGAGAGCCAGCTCCGGAGCTGTCGTTGGATAAGTTACGGGTATCTGAAAACCAAGTTCATATTTCATAACCAAATGAAATTTCAAAAAATTGTTTTTTAAAAGCTCTTTTGTTTTACGACTCTTTAATTTTAATTTAATCAATTTCATTTTGCGAATCTTAGCAAATAAATAAATTCAAATTCAAAATAATCTTTATTTCATAGGTAAGCATTATTACACTTGAAATCGTCACAATGGTTAAACTCTACCGCTCATTCGTAAGGCAGATTCCCCTGAGAAGAATGAGCAAGAAACTGTAGCGGTTGCTCTTTGTAAATAACATTTACAATATTTTTTTTATTTGAAACATCAGAGATCGAGACTACCTCCATGAGCTAAACGGGTTACTACCACGGATTTTTGTCATCCAAGTACGCAGAAGTTGTATAATAACCTTTAGTATAAAGTTTTTGTTTCACTAGTTTTAACCTTGTGAAAGGCAAATTTTGTATATCAACCGGAATCTTGTTATAGAAGCGTATACATTGCCCCTTAAATGATTTTTTGACTTTGTGAAGACGACTATCAAGAAATAAAACTCGAAGTTGGCCTAACGGTTTGTATTGTGGCATATGAAAAATTAATTTTTCTAAACTGATACACGTTTGAATGACATAGTAAAATTTGCTATTGATTTTGAACCCTTTTTTTTATAATATCAAGTGACAGAACAAGTTATGCGCCTGATGGTAAGCTACACGCCTGTCCATATAACAGCTGCAGGGCACTGCCACTGCGCCCGTCACCCTGAGACATAAGTTGACAAGCCCCATGTGCCTGTAATATCACCAGCACCCTTACCCTTCAAAGCCGGAATGCAGAAATGCTAACATTACTGCTTGATGGCAGAAATAGGTAAGGTGGCAGTACTTCCCTGGACAAACTCTTTCACAAGGAGCTCTACTGCTGCTGAAAACCCTTAACCTTTATCTTTTCCTATCATATCTATATGACTAGATGCCAGTGATACCAATATGACAGTGATACTTATATTTAATTTGTGCACCTTATAATTAAATAAATGTAATGTATACTCACATCAAACTCAAGGTCAAACTCGTACTTAAGCAAGTTGTGGACATACCAGCACTTGCCAAACCACCTTGTTCCTGTTTTGTCAGATTCTAACCGGAACCAGTCGTTGTCAGCTGCTTTGTTGTTTTGAACATACTGGAAATATGTAAAAAAAAATGTTTTGTGAATCAGTGCATTTGGTGGTGCCAAATGGAGATGTAGAATACCGATAAGTAGTGGACTGTAGTTTTTTTGTCCCTTTTACATTCAGCCCCTGCCGCTGCCCCTCGCGCTGCCGGCAATAATTCCCTAAATACTGCTGCAGCAGGATCGAGAGGAGTGTGTGTTTACATACTGCCCTACCACTCACTTCGCTTTCAAGTTTCGGCAATGGCAGACGTCGAAATAATTACAGCGGCCGCGCTGACTCTTTTTATGTTGTTTATCCTTAACATCCCAAATGACTTTTTCCGTTTCCAGTAGTTCTAAGAATTTTATTGTAATCTCATTGCTCCATTCGGACAGCATTTTCGATGATCTAAAGTATCTAAACGAACGTCTTTCTCCTCCAGGCGCTTGGCGAGTACTGAGCGTCGGAGCAGAATGTAAACACGCACTGCCGCTCGCGCTGCCGGTCCTTTGACTTCCGCACAAAAAACCGCCATTTTGGGGAGCGCCGGGCAGCGCGAGTGGCAATGGCAGTGGCATGAGAAGTATCGTGTTTACACACTCATCCTGTCCACTTCCCTGCTCACTACGGCTGAATGTAAATGAGGTATTTGGATTTTTTTAAATTACAGTAAAAGGTACTTGTACTATGAGTAACTGCACTTGCAAGTAGTTTCCTATAAGAACTGGAACAAGTATATAGTAGTAGATCGAAGAACAGGCAAAATGATGGGAACATGCACACACCCCTTTTCTTTCGTTGAGCTGGCAGCAATTCCTCCTGGATACGGCCGCCACAGGAGGAAAAATCCTCAGGTTCACTACTGAGCACAGTACAGTGTATTGCGAACAAAATAAACTATTAAAAAACACAATCGCGCTAATTAGCCATTTTTATGATGCACACAGTTCAGTGTCATAGGTTAGACTATCGTCTTATTTTTGTTGCCAACTCATTGGCCGGTGAAAGAGACGACAGCAGCAAAAGTGCGCATGTTGGAGGAGGATGGAGGATACAAAGGAAGGAAGTACTCGCAAGTGCTAAGATCTAAAAAAAGAAAATATGAAATCAAACAGCATTGCTGGGGCAGTTTAATGACAATGGAAATGAAACTATTTCTTTCCGATCTAAAATTTCATATTGTAATGGATGTATTAGTTTTCTTAAACAGCTCTGATTTATGATACCAAGTGACAGAACAAACAAGTCCATAACACTTGCAGTGCCACTCAGAGCTTTAAATCGCAAAGATCTTAGTTGCACTGCCACTGCGCCCGTCACCCTGAGACATAAGTCGACAAGTCCCATCTGTAATTTCACTTTCACTTCTAGACTTTCAATTTGAAATTCAAATATCAACTTTATAAATATATAGGTGGGACAGTACAATAAAGCAGCAATTCTATATTACAGATTATATATAACAAAACAAGGACCGTTATACATGAATAATGTTAACAAATCATACATCGTCATCTTGGAGTGAAAAACCTCTCATATGCATTTTTACATAATAGGTTGTTTTTGCAGATTTATGTTGAAGAAAAACCTTATTAAATATTCATACTGTACTACATAATACTACTACAGTTAATTATTATTCGAAATGTGCAGTTAGCCTGTCCGTAATATGTAATATACTACTCAAATCATTGTAACTTTTACGTAATAATACTTTATGTAATAATTACATTACATATTAACCGGACACTCATCCATGTATAATTGTTAGAGACACACGGTTTCCCTAACGATTTGGATGCCAGGAGATCTTAAAGACACATCATGTCTTTAACGTGCAGCTCTGTTTTCATTCAAAATTTAAACAGAAATTAAAGAATTTAAAAAAAAGTTTCTTATTAAAATATTTATGGACTCACATAATGTCAGTAGGATGCATGATGGGCTAAATGTGTATTAACTTATTGATTTTCTGCTTATGTTTTCAATTTGCAATTTACGTAAAAACAAATTTATTAAAGTAAATTATTTTTAAAACCATTGTGTGACTATGTCAGCATTGTTGTCGTGAAATGTAATGTATGGTAAGGTGTTTGAACCACCTAAATTTTCAAGAGCTGTAACTCGGGATCTATGAACCTAAATGATATACTTTTTGCTTAGAATTATAGGTAATTTTACTGGGTATGATAAATTTTTGTCCAAATACAGTCAATCCTTCTAAACCCATGTTTTTTAAAAAATATGAGAAAAGGTTCACTGTGCATACCCCATGGTACTCATTGTACTGAGGGTTGGTACACAACGAACCAAAGGGGCCACAATGGACGTGATTATTACAATCATCAGCAAACTGTTGTTTTTATAAAAATTGTGAAATATGACGTGGTTTTTGCTAAAATTATTGAAAAAAATAAGTTTTTGGGCATCCAACAGAAATATTAAACATATTTTTTTTTTAAACTAGCGTTTAAAAACATAACAATGAAATATAATTAAAAAAATCGACTTGATTCTCACTAATTCAAAATAGGTTTGTAACTTGTTGTGCACTTACATGTGATTTCTTTTAATTATCTAGCAGTCAACATTTTCATGTTTAATTTATCACTAAGTTGTCATAGGTTCATTGTGTACAACTTAAAGGTGGTTCATTCTGCATCACCCTATGCTTGTAAAATTTGAGATTATGTAGCAATGTGCCTAAAAACCCGTTGCTTATTTTAACTACCTCAATAAAATGAGCATTTATGACTAATCTATTATAACTATTAACATGCAGCGACTGCTTATACAAATCAAACGAAGCAAAATTCTTGTTACATTTTTTTTCAGCTTTTTTTGGTAAAGAATAAAAGCATTGACACCCCCGGGCATCTGTGCCGCTCACTCGCTGTCGACTAAGAAGAGAGAGGTGCCTATAGTAGAAGCTCACATGGAGCAATTTGCACCAAATTCCAATATCGCGTTTCAGTATTATTGGCGCGGTTCACAGTGTACGCTTGGTTCACTGTCGAATACCCTAACCTAAATAGTGCAGTGTATTATGAATGTTCTGTAATTGTCACTATCACTATCACTTTTTATTTTTATGGCTCCATCATTATGAGAAATGATGATTTTGCCAAAGTTGAAAGAAAAAAAATGAAACAAAAAAAAATCGCTAAGCTCTAATAGGACATTAACCGGTGTTGGTAAGTTGGACCACGTGAGTACTCAGTTGAGAATGTAAAACAAAAAACAACACTTATAAATATATGTTATTTAAGTGGATAAATTTACATAGAGTAACAATATGGGGGGAGAGCACTAAAGTTAAGAGGTTATTTATGTTGCGTTATTAATGGGTTATTAATGGGGTGGGGGAATTTTGGAGAAAGTAAGTTATAAAGTGGAACAGCAATATTAGGACAATTGAAAAAAATATGTTCCAAGGTACCGTCTTCTAGGCTGCACTCGCACAGAGAGTGATCTCGGACTCTGATTTTACGCAAAAATACAGGGGTGCAAACATGGCCTAAGCGCAAACGAATAATGGTGGAAGTGATGTTTTTAGGCAAATATATATATTATAAATATATATATTGTAATTGTCATATGTCTCAGTCCTAGCCTTATGTCTAATTTTTGTTAATTGTCATATACATATCGACACTGGAAAGTTAACGTATACGGAAGTGAAAATTACCTTGATTAAAGCTTGGTATTCTTCTTTCAATCTCGCTACCCATAAATCCTTATCCCGAGGACCGGCCTTGATTTGAAGTAACGGAATGCTGCTTAAAGTCTTCCTTGTACTTTCATCTACCATTTTGACGACTGTATTAATTCATTTATATAATCATTTAGGAGGAAATGTGAAAAAAGCGAAAGAAACAACTTGTGTGTACAAATTCATGTAAAAACGTCAAATGTCATTACAACGTGTCACTTTTTCGCTCTGGTTCACGTAGAAACTAAATAAAAAAGCAAGATTTTTTTTATATTTAAATTTATGGAAAAAGTAACAAAAAATACTGAATTATTAAAAAAATATACTACACGGTATTCTGCAATGTATTTGTTATGAAATAAACATTCACAATTTTATTTTATTGATATAAAAATTATTAATAATGCGTACAACAAAAAGTTACAGAGAGAGTTATTCGTTACATGATAGTGAATCAGTTAAGTAACGGAAGAAAAATACATTGGAAATGTCTCAAGCCTCGATAATCACAAATTAATAAGAGATACTAAAATACAAATACTTTTGTACGTCAATAACTATTAGAACTGCTGTCGCCAAAACTCAAACATTCATAATTCGAAACATTCACTATGAAATATTGATATTGATTATGATTGGTCGTAGTTTCTAATTCTGGATCAGGGGGAGTCAATATTTATGTTTTAACTTTCACTTAAATCAGATTATCTTCCATCAAACCTCAAACAAAAATTTTTGAATTTTGGAATTCGTAATTATTGGAATTTTTAGGATAAAGTCTTTTGTAATTCGGTTTAAAATAAGGAATATAGTTTTAACTTTCTTCATTACTATTTATCTCTTCGTTTTTTCTTCATAATATGCTTAAAATAAAAATTAATCTTTGTAAAAGCTGTACTTGTAGGTAACTTCACAAACCCGCCCTTTTTTTCTCTTTTGGAATGAAACGAATATTACGACAAATGTCACATGAACTGACTGAATTGAAAGCAAAGTCTTGAAAATTATTAATTTATTGCAACAAATCGAAGAATGGAAGAAATATAAATAATCATAAAGGAAAGGACGGTTCTTTTCTTTATTAAAGACAATAATTTAACATCTCAATCTGAATGTAAGTATGTATAGTGTTAAAATGTTTTCCTGAATGCTTGTCTCATTCATATTTTATGTTTATTTGAGCGCTTAAAGCAATAATTATATTTATTGAAAAAATTGAAGGTTTTTTTCGAAGGGTTCGATTCCCAGTAGGACTAATTTAGGAAATGAACTTTGTAAATTGGTTCCTGTGACGGTGTTTTGAGTAGGGTCCCAAATTGAATCCCATTGCTTTGGTACTCATTGCACAAAGATTTTTTTTAAACGCACTTACACATAACCACGCACTAGGGAAACCGTGTGTCGCCGGTGCCATAAACTCGTACATAGACAACCATTAACTACAATAAATGTAGGCCATACAAATATTTCTCTGGCCTAGGAATTGAACCCAGGACCTCTGCATAGCAGACCAGAATGGTAACAATTTGGCCACTGAGGCAATTTGTTA